TGATCCACCCGCCTCGGCCTCCCAAAGTGCTGGGATTACAGGCTTGAGCCACCGCGCCCGGCTAGGTGGCTTCTTAATGAGAGAATGTGATGGAAATTTTCTATCTTTTAAGGTGGTTTTATTTTTTTTCCAAAAGGGAAGATAATCCTATCTCTTCTACAGATGACTGCATACTCTATTGACTTCCTTTTCAAATTGAGAAATCTGCATTTATCTCTTAGCGTCTACACTTAGATGCTTGAAGAATCTAGCCCAACCAACATACTATAAGTGAACCCTTTCTTGAATGAGCTGATAGCCGTGAATTTTGTGAGGAATACACATGCCAGAATTAGGAAAGTGCAAAATCCCCACCTCCCCACTAGGCTCTGTTCTCTGTACTGTTCCCTTTGTTTTTTCTGAGGACCTTGCAGTTTTGCAGAACAGCCTCCTTATCTCTCTTTGCTTTTCTCCTTGGGACTTACCTTCCACAGACCTCTTCAGACATTCTTACAGAATTGATCCCACAAGATCTCTATTTTCAATTGGTTTTATACCTTTCAATTTTATGGCCCATCCAGAACAGCTCAGTTCACTTTCTGAAGAAGAAATAAGAAAGTGTAAAATGTTACCAAATCTTCCCTCCTGTGTTTTCAATAAACCACATTTGCAGCTTCCTGTTTTATACGCTTTTACAGAAATTCTCTTTAAAAATCAAATATATGCTTATCATTATTTTAATAAATCCTCTGCTGAGTAAATGAATTTAACAGAATTGGGGGTAAAAGTTTGCAGTGATTGGTGGATGATACTGCTATTCAATAAGGAGCGCTTAAAAATAGAGCAAACACGTAAGACATTTTTCCAGTTTTCAATTTGTAAGAAAATGATTTCATTAGAGGGGAAAAAAGAGAGAGAGAAAACTATCAGTCACGATGTGGGAGAATGCAGGCTCCTGATGAGACCAGCGAGAAGACAAACTAAGTGTATGGATGCAGATTAGGCCTCAGAAGATGAGGGTGTAAAAGGGATTTAATGGTAGGGTGGATTATAGAAATCCATGTAACAATGTTAAATAATTATAGTTCCAGCCGAGATCAAAGCAGTGCTGATTGAACGCCCTCAAGCTGTTAACATGAAGTATCTTGAAGGGGAAAAAAAACCTGCCTCAAAGATTGGTCAGCCTGGGCAAACAATGTCTGTGATCTGTAGAAGTTCCAACTGTATTGAAAGCACCAATTCTGGGGAGGAAAAATGGAGGAAGCAGCCTGTTAGGAAATTTCTTCCTCTAGAGCTCTCGATCTTAAAACAGACTTTTTAGCTATTTGTAGTTTGTTTGAAAATGCTAAAAAGAAAAGTCTACCCTTTCTTTTGGAGGGCAGAGAAAAAAATATTCACTCAACCTACATCATAGATGTCGATAGAAAATTCTACAATTGATTTTTTTAATTCTTGATTTTGCCCTTTGAGGAAAATTTTACTTTCACCAAGTGTACCAGAGTGATAATGACTGTAGGTAAGGAAAACTGGAAAAAAAAATTTGTGGAAGATACATTTATCCGCAGAAGGAGCAAAAAGTATTTTGAATATAAAGAAAAAATAATGAGAATACATTTGTAATACCTCTAAGACATTAAAAAATACAGAATTATAAAACAATTGAAATTAGTTCTAAAATGAGACAGCCATTTAAATTAACCCCAATCACAAGTGTGTTGGGCAAATTGAATATAGAAGTATATTGATGTCTATGTCTGTAACTGTCTGTCTGTATATATGATAAAGTACAGAGAGCTGGTAATTTTTATAGTTTACACATGCATCTTTTATTTAGTATAAAAATGAAATTGTTTACTATTTTAAAATTACACTAAAAATGCCAAGCCAACAAATATTAAAACTAGATTTATAGAAATTATACTTGTAGACTTTTTATTATCCATTGAAAATATAGTTGATATAAATAGTTGAGCTACATAGTAACATAATGATTTGAATTCTAAAACTGAACGGCCAACTATTTGCAATGTTTTTATAATATTCCAGGTACTGTGGCTGGAATTTTACTTGGAGAGAATTAAAGCTGATATTTGAGTAAGGTGCACGGCATTTCCTGTACGGTGATCGTTTTAAGATTTAAGATGTGTAGGATCAGCTAGTCACCCCATCTGAATTTTAAAAACCTTTATGTTAGGAGATGAACTATTGATATAAGTATTCTATAAGAAATACACATTTCTTAAGCAGTTGATGATAACTTGTTAAGGGAAAATTTGGATAGACAAAATGTGAATTTTTGTATTAGAATGAATTGAAAGAAATTTTTCTTGATTCAAATACATTTGCCTAGTAACATTAAAGTAAGAGCATTTTAAAAGTGAAGACATTCTGCTGTATATCTTTTTTCTGTTATAGGAAATAGCTGATATTAAAGACAATACCTCATTAAATCTTGTGATGAGTGGTTTAACTTCATGGCTTTTCTTAGGCAAAGGTTTTATTACATTACATTACATTTTTAATATTTTAATATGAATGCATTTCCTTTGCCAAACTAATTTTTATTTTTATAGGAGGATGGATGTGTTCGCTCTTTAACATCTTTTCTCATCCTTGGAAAACATCATTTTTTATCTGTAAAATATTTTTAAATCATATTTACATGGTACCGGAAAATGATATTATAGGATTAAAGTATTTTAATGCACGTGTTGAATATTTTTAAAACAGTTTAAGCTAACAATTAAAACTTACTATAAATTAATTTCAGTAAGCCACTAGGTAATTAGTCAATTTTAAAGTTTCTCACATTTTTAAATTTGGGATGTTAGTGATATTCTAAAGTGAGTTATATATTTAACAACTGAATAATTTGTTTATTTTCACTTCTTTTTATTGTTCCTTTTAATTTAAATGTTCACAAACTGTATTTTTCATTGTAATTCTCATAGGTCCTTCTACAACAGAGGTTTACACGATACAGAAGGGGTTCATTAACTGCCAAGTCACCTGTCCAGAAATGTTAATTTAATTTGAAAGTTAAATTGTTTTGTTTGTTTGTTTGTTTAAAGTAATATGATTCTACCCCACGTAGCAGTACATACTTGAGAGTAAATGCCAGGTGAAATGATTTTCTAAAATTGTCTTACTTTTTTTTTTTTTAATTTGAGGAAGTTTTTTATTCTAAGGATACAGACATCTTATGACTATTGATGAGTTCAGTACCATACAAAAATTCTGATATTATAATAGGGTGGAAAAGCCTAAAATTTTTATTCTTATAAAACTGGTTTCAAATCCTCATTCAGTGCTTGATTACTTATGAACTGAGTGACTATGGACATTTTGCCTCATTGCCCAAAGTTTCAGTTTCATCATGGAAATAATGCTTACCTTCTGTATCTCTTGTGAGCATTAAACAAGGTCAAGTGAAATATCATATGTATTTCTTCCCAGCCAGGCTGCAAGACTGGGTAGATGGAGGACTCTCATGAGAACTGCCCCTCACCTCTTACTATTGAAGACATAGGATGGTGAAGTTTCTGTGAGAGCTCTGACCTTGAGCCCCACAATTCTTAAGTATATTTATTCCAATACAACTTATTTTTACTAAAGTGAAATTTAGGAAGCTTGAAATGAGAGTGACTTTGTCCAAGTACTTTTATGTCTCAGATCCTCAGTTTTCCCACAAGCAAATGGGGATGATAATAGCTACTGCGGTGCTTAAAGTGGATCTTAAATAAAAGGACCCACGAGATACTTATGCCCAGCCCATAGAGGTGCTCAGTTATTGCTTTTGTTATCATAGTCACAGACTACTGGAAATAACTGGCTTTTTAGAAATATTAACCCTAGAAAGTTAGGAAATCTTCACTGAATTTCTTATATGAAACAGGAATTCTGCTAGACCCTGAGATACTGTGATCAGTAGGACAGGTGTGATCTCTGACCTCAGAAGGCCTGCACTTTACTATGGAATGCTGTTTAAAATTCAGGTAGCTACCATACCACCATTAAATATATCAAAGCATTTTTAAACAGTGGTTATTTCAATGAATATAAAAGTAATAGGCTAAGTCTTTGAAGAAAATAAAAAGAGTGATTAGATACACACACATGTATATACACAACATAATAAAAATGAGTGTTCCTATGCATTAAAATATGCTACCCCTAGTCTCCAAGTCTCTTTGCCCTGGCCATAATTAAAATCTGTATGCATAAAAAAGAGACAGTGATTTGGGATTCATTGGAAGAGAAAGAATGATTTGGCAAAAACTGGTCACCTTCAATTTCAAACTTTTCTCACTTTATTACTGCTCTAAAATGTTCTAAAGAAAACCCCTCATTTTCTCAACACCAGTCTGTCTCCCCCATCACTCATGTCCCCTATCTCATTGTTCTTAGTTGGGCCCTCTTATCACTCCTCCTAGCCCCCACTTTATCGTCCTTGTTAAACAAACCATCCTTACTTCCTTGGTGTCAGGCCTCCTAGATATACCATTCTCTTTAGCATTTAACCAAGTACATTTTTCTCCATTGTCGCTTGCTAATCTTGTGTCTCCCTGAGGACTCTTCCCAGAGGCACTTGACACTGGCCTGCCATTTTCTCTCTTTCCTCTTGGAGTTCCACCTTCTCTGCTGCCACATTGCACTTGTGGCCATTACCCTGTAACCTCATGGCCTCTTCTGATCAGGAAATAATGTCCTTCTTCATATGCATCAACCGTCTTATACAGCCACATTTTATCACTCAGAATTGTTACATACTTAGACATTCCTTTCTCTGTGTATAACTGGCTGTGTGTTTCCTTGCGACCTCAGTGAGGAATCTACGCAGCTCCTGGATTCATTTTCAGTATTACTCAGTCTCAGCTCCATAACCTCCCATTTCAATATTACTCTTGTTAGTACCTTCAGTGGCCTTGACCTCTGTGCATCTGGCTTATCATTGCTTTACTGGGAGATGGGGAGTAGATAGTCTTTATACCCTATACCTAAATCACCAGGAAAAATAATAGCTTAGATGCATTAGTGAGCATTTATTATGTATATGAGGCACTGTGCCAGACACGAAGCAGCATCTCAGACAATCCCCTCAACACTCTAAGGCCCCAAAAAAATCTTTTTGTTGGCATTATTGCAAATTCAAGTACTACTAGGCATTTTATTGATTGCCTGATAACCTTGTATAGAAATCTCCACGATAATGGTTCTAAAACTCTCCAGTCTTTGAATCATTAATCCTCTTTCCTCACTGCTTTATTTTCAACTACTTTTTTGAATATGGAGCAGTTATTTTTTATGTGAGAGATTTTTTCCTGAAGACCTTTCTAAATTCAAATTCTCACTTGTCCCATAGGGGGAAAAGTGGTGGGGCAGCCCAGAGAGCTCTTTAGAGCACACAGATCTGGAAACATTGTAGCTTAGAGGTTTTGAAACCACTTTGATCATGGAGCCATGTCACCAGAATTTTTTCCTATTATCCTTGCCCACTTATATAATAAATTTTTCCAACTTCAAGGTGAATCTGCTTTAATGTTGCTTTTAATTTTCTCAGTATGATCTCCAATACTTCAGAGTGTTCACTCTTAAATTAATTGCTGCTTGTGATTAAAAGAAGATGGCTTCACTCTTATGTGAGGATTTCCTGTAATGATCTCTTCTGTTTTACATCTCTTTACTCTCTCTTATTTTTCCCCTTTCTATCTCTCAATCTCCTGCTCCTTTTTATGATTGCAACTCCCATCTTTCTTTTTTCTTCAGTTTCTACCTAGCCAGTTTCTTGTCTACTTGCTCATCATTGCCCTCCAGGTGGCATATTCATTCATGCATGCATTCAAACAATGTTTCTTGAGCACTGACTGTGTGGAGGGCCAGACTGACTGGCCTCAAATACTGGTTTCATCACATTCTAGCTCTGAGACTGAGCAAATCCTTCAATCTTTATGTGCCTCAGTTTCCTTATCAGTAAAACAAGAATAATAGTAATTGTATCAGTGATAAATGCTAACGTGTGTTGTGAACTTACCATATTCCAGTAGGTTTTAAACATTTTATGTGTGTTAACTCATTTAGTCTCATAGAACACTATGATGGGATTCTGTTATTAAGCCCATGTTTTGTGCATGAATTATATATTTTCATAATTTGCTCAAAAATCACAAAGCCGCATAGCTCATCAGAGGGTTGAATGAACTCATTCATATAAAGGGCATAACAAAGTGCCTGGCACAGAATAAATGCTCAAAAACATTTATCTAATGTAATTATTATTGTCTTTATAAATATTCCCGATTTACTACCCAGTAAGTACTTAAAATATTAGCTGTTGTTAATGATAATGACGTGTAAGGCACCATGCTACCCGCCATGAGTGCAAAAGCTGTGTCAATACAATGGGTATTTTCAAAAAACAATATATTAAAGAACTTTCAAAAATAACTTATTTTCTCTTCCTCTCTACTTTTCTCCACTTCTTCCCCCACCAGCTCCTCCTTTTCTTCCTCCTCCGCCTTTTAAATTTCTTTTTTGAGAGAGATGGATAGCATAGGGCTTGGTAACACAGTCAGGAGCCAGGACACCTGACTTATTTCACATCTTGACTCCTGCTATTTAGTTGGATGACCTTTGAAAAGTAAATTAATGTTGTTGTGCCTCAGTATTTTCATCAACGAAATGGGCCAATATTATGTCTATCTTGTAAGATTACTAGGAATATGAGATGTCTTCATACTTGTGAATCACAGAGAATGGTACCTGGGGATGGTAAACACAATGGAAGTGGTAGCTTGTTTGTCTCTGTGTTTACTTAACTACAAATATAAATGTAAAGAGCTTTTATTGTACACCTTGGGAGGCCATGGTGGGCAGATCACCTGAGGTCAGGAGTTCAAGACCAGCCTGGCCAACATGGTGGAACCCTGTCTCTATTAAAAATACAAAAATTAGCCAGATGTGGTGGAACGTGCCTATAGTTTTAGCTATTTGGGAGATGGGAGGCTGAGGCAGGAGGATAACTTGAACCTGGGAAGTGAAGGTTGCAGTGAGCTGAGATTGTGCCACTGCACTCCAGCCTGGGTGACAGAGCAATACTCCATATCCCCCCCCCAAAAAGATGGTTTTTACTAGATATTTCATTGATGATATTAGCTATTTATTGTGTTATGTTCCATATTTTGAATTTTAAATTTTTATATATTTTATACTTTTCCTCTTAAAATTACTAAATTCAGAATTATTTTAAATTTCCTATTGCTATTAATATTTCATATAAATAATGGCTCATATTTGAAAAAAGGTTCATTACCTCTACTCCATGAGGTATGGGTTTTGTTTGACTGCTTATTTTGTATTGAAAATCTTTCTTCTGCAAATCTTGTTAGAAATACTTTCTGACTATTCCTTTAACTTTTCTTTATCTGACAGTTTCATTCTGTTCATGATTCCTACACTGTGTTAGGAATATTCTCCTGTTTGATCATTTCCATCTCTGAATTTTCTTGGCAAACTGTGAATATGTTCAGTCTCAGCTTCAGGACAGATTTGCACAGTGATGTTTTTCTGTATACATGACTGGTATACATTTATTGAGTCCTTGCTAGATTTGGGGCCACAAAGATGAACAAAATATGCCATTTGTAGCTTACGTTGCTCACTGTGTGGAAGACAGCAAAAACATACCTCATTTGAATTTGTCATGGTTGACACTATTTTAGGAGTCTAATCAAAATCCCGTGGGAACACCAAGAAGGTAATCAATCTTTTTTCAGTCTAAAGTGGTACCACTTTATCACTTAAAGATTGGGCAAAAACTTCTTGGAGGGGAAGGGTATAGCTTACTCAGCTAATTTATGGCAGGATTAACCTGGTGTCAAGTCTATCATCAGTATGTAGATTGTGGCTGGCCAGGCACTAATGTTTCTCTCAAAGATTCAGCTCAGAACATTGGGGTTTGAGGGTGGTGAGTTGGAGGAGGTAGACGGTATGCAAGCGGAACCCTTTATATCCTCTCCAAATCCAAATAGAAATCTGCTTGTTGAGAAAGTCTTTATAAGTTCTCTGCTGATACCAGCTATTCTCAACTTATTGCTGAGAATTTCAGTTCTTACTAGAGCATAAGTTCTGCTTAATTATAACTCTATCAGAACACTTACTAAATTCCAATGCACCTGCATGGTTTCCTTATCATAAAAATAATTTAAACCGCCAGGGTTTGACCTTCTCACAGAATCATTTGGATTATTACCCAAGACCCCAATTTTCTATCCCAGTGTTTCAAAAAATGTGGTCGGTGGATTACTTGAGCACCATCCCAGATAAACTAAATCATAAAATGTATAAAATTTTATGCAGGATGATCTCTGAGAACCTATATAGACACCTGCAAAATAAACTGGAGGCCACTGAGCCTTAATGGTCCTATACTTGGCAGAGCTTGTGATAAAAAAGTAGATAGTACACCAGTATGCTTGCAAAGAATCAAAATAATAATTATTGTATAGTTTTAAGCATAAGCAGAGTTATCCGTCTCATTACTTGCATGGTACTACCAAGTTAAAACATTCAGGCTACTCTGGAATCTAAAATAACTACATTATCAATTCAGTGCTTCATTCAAGTAAGTATCCCTGATGGTTTACTTAGGAAATATTTTATTTTTCACCAACATCACAGAAGGCATGTTATTGAATCCTTAGTTATAGGTAACACAACTTAGTCCCTACAAGTGGAGAACAATATAATATGGAAAGGTAACTGACCTCTGACTTCTGAACACTCCTTGCATTTTGCATTTGTTATCCATTTGATTTCATTCACCCGGAATATGTCTGTCCCCTCCTCTCCTAAACTGACTTTTTTTTTTTTTTAAAGAAACCAGATCTTACTTTGTCACTCAGGATGGAATACAATGGCTAGATCATAGCTCACTACAGCCTGGACCCCCTGAGCTCAAGTGATCTTCACACCTCAGTCTTCTGAGTGGCTAGGACTACAGGCACACACCACCATGCCTGGATGATTTTTTAAAAAATTTTTGTAGAGGTGGGATGTCACTATGTTGCTGAGGCTGGTCTTGAACTCCTGGCCTTAAGTGATCCTCCTGCTTTGGCCTCCCAGTGTGTTGAGATTAGCCGTGAACTGAGGTCATAGGCCTGAACCACTGTGCCTGGCCTAACACATCTTTTAGGATCCAGCTCAGGATCTCCTATGATCTTTCTCTCTTTCGGGGGGACCTCATGACAACAGTAGTTTATACAACTCATTTAGTAAGTAATTAAATGCCATTTTGTGACATTGTGTATCTTAAATTGTAAATTGATGTTTATATTCTTATTTTAACTATTTTACATGCTTATATCTTCTTTCCCTAACTAACTGACTACCTCTTTATTTACATAATAATTCCTACTACAGTGACTCAAACACAGTAGATGCTCAGTAAATATTTAGTGATTTCAGATTTATTTAATTCTGGTGCCTTAAGAGAGGAAAGAAAAGAATCAACTCTGCTGCAGAAGACTTGAAGAGAACCCCAGACAGGGTTTATAAGCCATTGAGTTAAGATTCCTATTTAACAATCTTTTATATCCAGGGGAAACACCAACAGAGTAATAGAATTAAATAAATGCATTTCTCCTCCACGTCCAAAGCCTTCAGAAATATAGATTCTTAGAGAAAGTACATTGTATTAATACATCAGCTATCTATGCGTACATATGCAAATATGTGTTAATATGTGAGTGTGTATATATAAATATAGGTATGTACACACACAAATATACAAATAATATATAGTACACACATACACATGTGCAAACACACTAGTTTTCAATAGTGGGGAGAGAATATAATTTACTCTATGGCTTAGTTTTGCAGCTTAGATTGGAAAAGTTCCAAAGCACTTACAGGGCTCTGCTTCCTTAAACAGGCCACCCTGCCATATGGCAGTTTTACTACTGTGGTGGTTTAGTTGTAATTGATTTATTTTAGATGATGATGATATACTTGATAGTCCATTAACAAAGTGACTAAGCGAGGTTCTTAACTACTGGATATGCTCCCGTATAAAATCTAAGATTTTTGTTTTTAGTTTTCTGTTCAGTCTTTGTTTCTGTCTCTCTTTGCCTCTGTGTTTTTATATCTGAAATTCCCATGCCAGGGGAAAATGTCAGTGGGAATGTATTTTGAGTCATTTTGTTTTAAGGTTGATAAAAAGTTATTATGTTAGTCTTCCATTTTCAATCCAGCTACAAATAGCTACAAATTTCAGTCCAGCTACAGCTAGCTCTCATTTACCTATCTTGACAGCCATCAGGAAGAGTGAAGCCACTGTGATTTAAATAACGTAATTGCTCCAACAGTTTAAAGCATTATCAACATTTTTAACTAAGTTGCTGGTGAGAAGAAAAAAATCAAAAGATTTGTGATTTCCTTTTCACTTTTCCTTTCATTAGGTAATTAATAAGTTAAAAAATTAGCAAGGACAACTATCTTAAAAAGTATAACCTTTTAAATATAAAAAAGAATGAGAATTCTATGGATAGTTTATATCACTTATTATCTTATAATCTAATTTTATAGTCAATGATTAGCTATCATTCATTTGCTAATATGCAGTTACATAGTAATTTGCAAACCTAATAGGTGAATATTTAAAATCAAAGCCATTAAAAACATCTTATGATTAGGTGAGTGTAGAAGTGATTGTGTGGGAGACTGTGGTTTTAAAAACATCCATCACAGATGAATTCATCTCTTGTGAATTCAAGCATAACAAACATCTTTAGCTTCTTCTTTCTTACCACAGCTTCCCAGGCCTATCTCCCTCAGGGAAACCCACTTCCTGGGCCTTAGGGCTTCTCCAAAGCACCTTATTCTGTGATTCAGTAGTCTGTATCAGTTCAGTCAAAATAAAAGGACATCCATATAAGCAAATAAAATGTGAATTTAATACAAAGTTCCTGATTTATTGAAAAACGTTGACTAAAAGTACTTCATTTCTTTTACAGCGGCAATAAAGAGAGTTTACAGTTAGTAGCATATAACTGAGAGGAGTGACAAATTTGGTACTTAAAAAATATTTAGGTTAAAAACAACCTTGTCACTTCTACTAAGTCATTTTTAGAGCGTAATCATTTTAATTCTTCCCCCTCTAATTTTATAACCACAAGACAACCTTTCCAAGGAAAATCCCTAACCTCTTGTAAAGATCCTCTCTGCTTCTCATTGTTACGACCCCTCAACCAACGATTCACTTGAAGTTATGTTTGACCTAAAAATTGGGAAACACTTTGGTGCTGTCTCTTGGTACCCTGTGCTCATAAATAAATATCATCAATCCTAAA